TGAGCTAGAAACTGCTAATCTAGTTTACTTGGCCTAACCAATATTTATGTATCTGCACGTGCTCTCACCCTATAGTTTTACTCCTGTAGATCAGCCATCTTTAATCCGAATGACAAAAAAAAAAGGAAAAAGATCCACTTTTACTCTTAGGTGAATTTACAGTAAACATTTCGGACCGATAGCTCACGCGACTTTTTGCGTAGGCGTGCGCAAAACTTTTGATCAAATTTGAGCGGTAGTTTTTGAATAACTTTGCACATGTGGCTTATATATAAACCAACTTTGACACCTAACTGTAGGTTGTTAAAGTCTATCGGTGTACCAAATTTGAAAAAAAAAATCGTGAATGTTAAGTATGTTTTTCTATCAAATAAGGTTTCCGTATTTTCGGCGTGAAGAGAAAAAAAAAGAAACTCAATCAAAATTGGAGATTTTATATCTCGTGTATTTCTAACAGATTGCCTTGAAATCTGGTGTGTGAAGTAAGGGTCCAATAAAGAACATCCACGGAATATATGTGATAGTTTGGATTACCACAGCCCGAGCTACAGAAAGCGGAAAATTGCTAAACTATCACTCTTGTTAATAACACGCATTGTGTCCTGCAGCTTGTTTTGGCCGCACGACACACTACCTTATGTCTTGATAAAAAAACTATGTAGGACTGGCTACTAAACTTGAAAAAGGAACCAAACAATATAGGTGTTGAAGTGGACATATCACTTGATCCCTCTAATGATCACATAGCAGACTAAGCTGTCTCGACTTTCCGCGGAGAATAAAATCCCTATATTACTGGCTTCTCCACTTTGTCAGTCGAAAGCTTAGTGTTTGAATAGAAGCTCAGCTTTCATCATTATACCTTTCGTTTAGTTAAGTTTAGAATACCTACTTTTATGACTATTTTACAATAGAGTAACATTTTACTATTTGAAATTCTGGTTCTATTTGTTTTGCTAGTGAGGAAGCCAGTAATTCCTATTTTGTTTGGATCATTTTTTGAAATTCAGTAGCCAGCCCACAAAGCTTTTTTTATTTAGCGATAAACTTTTTTTCCTTATACTTGTTTGTTTGCATTTTTTATAAGATCAATTATATGGATTACTAAGTTATAGAGTGTATTCTGAAGCTTTATAAATGTTGCATAGATAAATAATAAAATAGGTAGTCAAAGATCGTCAAGACTGTTTTGCTCTATCAAATGATGATAAAATTATAGTTACTGTCAGATCCAGGTAGGCGCTAGGCTTGTTGAAGAAAGATGATGATGAACGAAAATAAGAATTCTCGGTTTTGGCTATTCGCCAGTTTTCAACTTTGGGACGTCCTGGATAGTTGAAAAGCGGCATATACACCGAAGATAGAGTGACTATGCCAGGTAGCTCTTTATATCTAGCTTCTGGTGATCTGTAAAGAAGAGAATCCAGGTGACTTTTGTATTGCTTTAATACGGGTGTCCGTGCCATCTCTACAAAGAGAGTGCTAGCGCACTCTCCGATAAAGATATGCTCACTGTCACTTGACTTCTCAACCGTATTTCATCATGCAAATCGTTGATCTGTTTTGAAAAATATTATACCAAAAGCACGCCCTTTTATATAAAACAGATATGGATTTGTGTTTCGACGAACAAGTGCTCAAAACAACTTATAAAGACCACAATAACAACTTGTGCATGTTTGTCCGATCACACGCTACCTTCTCTGTTACTACTCAAGCACATGTTCAATAACTAGTCTATGCATGTAGACAATACGATAAAGACAAACCGTTTCCTTCACTGTCATTAGACTTTTTGAAAATATCTGTTAAATGTAACAACAATTCTTATTCGAGATCTTATATACATGTATTTACAAGCCTTTAACCTGAGTATTCATAAACATTTACTTTGGTTATTTAATATCACTCCTTCTAATGAAAATCTAGAAGTTATTGTTAGTAAGAAACCATCATAGTGTTTTTTAAAACATAAATCAGTATAGAAAGTAAAACATCAACGTATTTAGAATACTTACAGTTGATATATGCTTACTTCAAAAAACTGTATTTACAAATATATATTCCAAATATGTGTATTATTGTACATTTCCCATGTATATCTTTTATGACAACTTTAAAGTATATTTTTTTATTAAAGTTTTCTAATCACGCGTTATCTCCACTCTGCTTCCTGAGATGTGCCAGTTTACACATGGAACAGTGCCTAGTGTGTTTGAATGTTGTTGAAAATGCAAGAGGTTAAGGCTTAGTAATAACCAGTATTAAATAAATTGCCCGAATAAGGCGTGAAAGTATGTAGTTTGTGGTTCAACGGCCTCTTAACATTTTCTCTTCAGTCTCCATAATTTTACAAGCCATTTTGTCGATATTTGGCAACTGCCTCACCTGGTTGCTAGCATAGCTTGTTCAACTATGTCACGTTTGGTTCAAACACCAGAGGTCAGGACATAAACGTGACGAGATAGTGATTCAAGTCATATAAAACGAAGACATATTTTTCCTTAAATACATAAATAACAGGTGGAAAGCTGAAAACAAGAAAATCACTACATTTAATTCTCCTGTGTTGACATGAAGACCTATTTCGTATAGTTACAAGATGAAAATGCGTCAGTATTCAGTATTATTGACTTTACGAACATGGATTGTTTACAGAAAAAATAGATGTATTTGAAATACGCTGTTCCCTTATAATTCTGTTTGTCTCCAGTGTTTTATAAAAATACACATTCCGTTTATTTCGTATAGTTACAAGATGAAAATGCGTCAGTATTATTGACTTTACGAACACAGATTGTTTACAGAAAAAATAGATGTAATTGAAATACACTGTTCCCTTATATAGTTTGTATCTGTACAACATATTTACTAGTATGTGGTCAAAATGTGTCATACTTGTAATAGGAGGTAATGTGAAACTTAACAAGGATCAATATCTAGATTTAGATAAAACGTATATTTTATGTAATGGTTATTCATGTTTTCAATGGCTGTGTTAGTGAAAATAAGAATAATCTTTTGAAAAGTGCATGGAGACCTTGAGTGCCCTTTACGGCGCCAACATGATAGTAACTGTGCGTGGATGAAAAATTATATAACGGTACATTGTCACGACTGTACATGAAATGTAATATATGAGTTAAAAGTATATTAAATGTGTACCATTCTAGCTAGTCTATTGCATGAATATTTAAAGACTTGATCTCTGTCTGGGTTAATTCTCCATGGCACGGTTGAGGTCAAAAGGTGTGTACTAGTTGTTAAAGGTGCACTCCACTGACACAGTTTTATAGAAGTTTTGCACAGAGATACGATGAAATTATTAATTGATATCTTTGCTGTACAAATTAAATATTTTTTGTTTTAAGTTTGAAGACATGCTTATGGATAAAAATAGGTATGGTTCCATTATTGTAAAATATACAAAAGCTGTTTTGACTGTATCACTGTTTTACTGTAGGATAGTGCTGGTATTGTAGTGTAACTATGAACTGATAATCATGTGCTGAACATAAATTCCACTTTGGATCTCCATATTTGGATTTGGTACATAACAGAGTCTGCGAGATCATGCAATTTTTAGCTTATTTTCCAACCTGTAATTTTGGTGAAGTATGTATAACCAGTCCGACTTTAGTCGAACCAAGAAAATCGATGTCAGTGTTTTCTAACCGCTGGTTCGCAGGGACGTTTTTGTCAGTCTGTAGAGGCACCCAGTGAAAAAAAAAGTATAATGGTGATTAAGAAATACGTAGAGTTATTTCTGAGTAAGCTTTCGTGTTATTAAAAATTGAACAATTTTCACATTTGTTTTTACAAAACTGAACTATCTACATTCTGTATACTTTATACCTATAGGTCATATACTGTTATTAATAAAAATGTGTGAGTGAAAGTAAAATGTATAATACTAAGACAATCGCAGTTTGTCTCCTATATCCAATGCCAGCGAGGCCTTTCGCTCAATATCAAAACTCTTCAGATCGGCTGGGATATGAAAAACATAGTAGTGATTGAGACGCTATTTATATTAGCAAACTGCTTGACAACAACTGTGTAGTTTTATGTTTTTTTATTTAAGTCACTACACAAGAGAATTAAGGTAAGGAATTTTTAACACGATATTATTTATCAACTCCAGGTTGATTGTTACTATTTTTAATTTATTTTACTTGAATTAACTTACTCATTATTAAAAAAATAATAACTGCCGAACCAGCAAACTAGTATAGTTTACTTAACAAACTTATTGTCGGTTCTGTGGAATGAAATAGGTTGGGAACCATTTGTTCATATGTGTGGCCGCTTCATTGAAGTTTAAGGTTATCAATGTTTTTGTTACCACATTTTGTTTTATATTTTAAAAAAGTATGCTTTTTATTTTCTAGCGTCATTTACAAACCTCCTTCGTTTTGAATCTTACTGTTCCTGAATAATTAACTAATTTCCTCTAAATTGTTGCACGAAATTATCATGCATATTATCGAAAATGGAAGTTTTAAATAAGTATCCATAGTTTTTCATTCTTATGTTTTCATTTATCGCTCTTGAGCTTCTTCGTAACGCGTGTGAGGGACTCTAAAATCCATGTACTCAAATAAAATATTGTGTTCAGATTAGTTTATTAGAATATGCCCTACTTGTCATTAGAAAAAATAGACAGATAATTCAAAACGAGTATTAGTTATTCTAAACAAGACTCGCATTCAGTATCACATTTAAGTAGATAAAAAAAGAAAAAGAAAAGGAAAAATAACATATATAGCCGAAATATTTAAAGATAGAAAAATTACGAGTTTCTTGGGGAAAAGCTGCATTTGTTAGGTGCAGTTTTGTTTCAGAATTACTGTGAAGAAAATATTGTTTATTTTACTTGCTGTATGAACCTAAGAAGTGTATACAGAAAGTTTTTAAATGTGTGATTATACTTAGAAACAATACTAAGTTTATGAGCTGTTATTTTTCAACGTTTTAATATTATTTTTTACTTATTGCAGGCAATATGTCGAAATTTACCACAGAATCGTTGGTAAGGAAAACATTTATATACATTTGAATTATTTTTTGTAACGTTTTTGTAAAGATATGAATTTGAACTATCAACTGAATTGTCTTAACTGGCTATCCACGAGTAGTAAACTTTTATGTGTCACGTCACGTGCCCAATTATTTGAAATAGACGTTTAACCTTAACAGTTCCAATTCATATGAATAAAGAAAATGACGACTTTTCGGTTGTGTTACAAAGTAAAAACAATAATATATTCTGTTAGTTTATAACTTAGTTGAAATTTCGATTTATTTATGACATTTTAAATATAGACACTTTATGCATTTTACAGTAATAATAATAGCTTTACATAATACGTTTCTATTGTCAATCAAGCGATATTTTATACACAACTGATAACGAATTTAAAAAGCTTATCATTCGATAGTTGTTCATACCATTTTGGTTATACTAAACTCTTTTTAATTTATTTACGGTATGTTCTTTTAACATGAATATACATGCTTCTTGTGTTATATCAAATACTTTAGATTTTTTTGTGAAGTCTTGTTTTTACTAGTGTTTGTGTGAATGTATTATAATTGGACTAAGGTAATCCTGAAACATTCACAATTCAGAATGGTTTATGAAGAAAATAACGTAAAACTCTCTCTAGTCAGAGTTTACAAGGAAACATTTCAGTGTTTATATACTCTCGAATATATTGCATGTCTGTTTAGTCCTTGTGATCGGGTAAGAAAGCATTTCAGGATCCTGTTTGTTTACAGAACTATGTGATATATAACACTGTTAACTTACGAAATTAATAGACTCGTCATTGTATTTGGCGTAATAAAAATGTTGATATGATTATGATTTCTATATTTATTCATCACACGCCATGAGAAATACTGGAGTAAAACATTTCATTAGTTAACGTAGATTGTCAGTACTTTTTGATTTTATGATTTTTGAAAGTGTTTTATTTATAAAAACTCATTGTTTTATGTTTCTTTATTTTGCACCGTTGACATCACCGTGAAAAGTTATTTTTAAAGTAACGATGAACAATCATATATCAATTTCATTTTTATTTATTCTCCTCTCAGTCACTTATTGAATAAGAAGTTTACATTCTTATATTGTTTACAGTTTTTGCTGCTAATCCAAACGTTTGGTTTTACATGAGTTTTACTGATGTAGCTAGGGGCTACGGCTTGACAACAGCGTTCACTAGTCACAGGAAGAAAATCGCTGTCGAGTACGTTACTGAAGTATCGTGTATTATTGTCGTAAAATAGCACTTAAAATCACTTGTAGTTGAGAGAATACTACGGCCATAACAGGAGTTTTCTTCTTTTTGTTTTTATCCGTATGTTAAAGGGATACTTTCATTAGTCCCGCTAAAATGAATAAGGAGTTGAAATTTAAAAGCGCTGTAAATCATTAGACACAAAAAAGTAACTTATCATGATGTACGTTGAATTCCCAGTGTAAAGAAAGATTATTAAATCTGCATGTTAGAATAGTTTAGTCTCCCCTGACTTTGAATTTTCCATCACTACTCAGCTGTTATGCAGAAAAGATAATTTTACAGGCGGCTAAAAACGTGTATAAAAATCGATATATATATATACATACATAAAATAGCTAAATGTTTGTTTGTCTCTCTCTATATATTAGAAAGCTTCTTTCCATGAGTACGATATAGGAAAAGTATTGAATTTTTGCAGTTTCTAAAATTTCATATCGATATCAATATCGATCCGTCAATCTTCATGTGTGCTGAACGTTTGGTTAATCTGGGAAATAACTTATTAAGAAGAAAATGTTTCTTTTTGAGGGAATTTCATGAAAACAAAAACAGGACTTTGTCTGTCTGATTGAAAGCAATATTTCGAAGATAGAAGCAAGAAAGGAAAAAAAAACGCATAAAGAGAGGAATGTGTCTGAGCATATATTTGTTGTTGTTCAGTTTATATGTTTTTTTTTCATATATTATATATATTTGTGTGTGTGTATGATTTTATTGTACCATGTCGAATAAATTGGTTTCAACTGAATTGAATACCTCTCCTTTGAAAGAAATAACAACTGTTGAAATGCAATCACTTCGGTAACGGTCTTTTCTTGCGCTCAGTAAAATGACAAGGAACAGTGGTATCCATCGGAATAAAATCCCCTCGGCTACTTAGCGAACCTGAGCGCTCTATTGTGCTGGATTCACCCAGTGTATCAAAAGCCGAACATTTTCCCCAATAATGCATTGCCGTCAGTCTCCTTTGCTTAAAAACAATCTTTAAAAAAATCAAATATCTAAAGGCTCTAGTCGTTGTTTTAAAATACTTTGTTACATAAATGAATAAAAAATTTGTATTTTCTAGTCCGGAATCGCTTAAGAGCGACAAAAACAAGGGATTCGTTGGTGTATATTCACGTGCGCGAAAACCGAAATTTTTTTTTAACTTAAACTATATCGATATAATTGCTTGGTAGTTGTGTATGGTTATGTGATCTATGTTACCACATACATATGTGACAGGTGCTCAGAAGAGAACTGTGAGGGTTGTAGTAAGACGTGAACAGGAAATTGTAATTTTAAACCAACCCTCTCTTAGTGTTTTTGGATGCAACAAGTTACAGTACTTTTTTATGCTTTTAATAATAAAAAAAGTAATCATGACATTTCATTAATGTACGATAAGCTATTTTTAATAACAAAGTTTACCTTAATTGTGTATCGAGCATTATTTACATAAATTTGAATTTCCAGGTCAGTGGCGTTGAAATATCTTATATTTTCAAATGTATATCATTCATAATCCATTCTTGTTTTTACATTAGAATTCCTCTCGCTTTAAGGATAATCCATGTATAGTTTTCTTACACTTTTTGCCACTCATTTTTATAAATGTTAATACAGCATCAAAATGTTATAACAAAACTGACCAAAAAATATCTATGTGAAAGTCAGAAAATATCTGAACCTCATCTTTTTTTTAAAGGTTTACGCCTGGCATGTTGACAGAGAATGTGAAAGGTTTAGGTCTGGTTATAGATCTGACGAACACAAGACGGTATTACGACTCTGAGGTGAGTTACATATGTATATGTGTGTACTATAAAACTGTGGTTGAGAAGATTTAATTTTGATTTTCAACTTGAATCTAAGTGTCTGAATAATATATATATATATATATAACACAAAGGAAAGTAAAAGGACACTATAACATCAGAACGGGGTAGAAACCTATGAACGTTTATTGTGAATGCACTTTGCTAGTTTCTCTTTTAACGTTCCCCCATAAAAATGAAAAGTATACATCAGGATGCCTATAAGCATCTAGTAGACAACATACACAGAGAAATAAGGCCATTAGCCTTTTTGAAACTTGTTTCTTAGATAAGAAAAGTATTTTGTACAATTAATATAAGGTTGACCTGGCCTAATTGTTAGCATGGTATATTATGGATCTGGAGGTCCATGGGTCACGTCCCGTTGCTGCAACATCGCACTCTGCAATTTATAACCGTGAGTGTTTTATAATAGTGACAGTCAAAGTTCACTGTTCTATACGTTAGCCCACCAGGTGACGATAGGTGCCTTTATTTTAGTTTACGAGTTTAAAATTAGGATTACTAGCGCAAATAGCCATTGTGTAGCTTTGTACGAATATCCGAAACAAAAAACAGTTACTGTTATTATTTATTAAGTTCTTTTTAAGTAGTTTATTACTGGTAATTCCTGCTAAGACGTATTCAAATATATATTATGAAGTAATTAGATCACAGACTGATGGTTAATGTGTTTGAATGATTGTTTAGATAGTTTTATTTATTCATATATATATATACCTTTTAAACTTCAAACTAGATTGTAACTTGTAATGTCTGTCACATGTTAAGTAAAAATATACGAGGAACAACATCAACAAATTAAAGAAACGAGTGTTACAAATATTGCATGTCTACAGACATACATTAAACTTTGACACTGACCACTGTTACAGAAATAAGTATCTGTAACATATCTGAAATTATTTCGCCAATAAGAAGAATTTTTTTCTAAACTCGTCACTGATTTAAATCCATATAGCTGTTATATATGTATTATGTATATATATATATATGCGTGTATATTAGAAAATAAGGAAGAGTAATGATTATTATTTGCTGAGTATGAATAATGTATAAACTTTTGGAAAACGAAAGCTTTCCACAAAAAAGAACCTGAAGTTTGGGTTGTAAAATGACAAGAAAATAAACTGAAAGAAATGTAGCTGTAAGTCACATGAATGTGTAGTAAAAGGCAGTACACGGACTGATTAAAGGGTTTAAATATTATTCATTTGTGTTAAAAAACTGAAGTTATGCAGACTACTTATCCTCCAGCAATCAAACTTAGAAGTTTATTTCAACGTACAGGGTTATCATAAAGAGTGGAAAAACGTGTAAAATGATATCTTGTTTCAGGGGGCATAATTTCATGAGTGGCAAACTGAGTAGGAATCAGAAGTTTTATTCAGGAAATATTTGAAATTCGTAAGGTATTCACAACGGTATTACACAAAATATCCATATATTTTTTCTCGTGAGCTAGCATTGATTATATTTTCTTTTGACACCACGAGATTGGTGACATTAGTAATATATCTGTCTGTCAGTGTATATAATCGTGGGAATATCATTCACCTGTGTAAGAAAATTAATATTTGGTCAAAATTTAGTAACTAGGAGAAAAATGGCTCACTAAGGAAATTAATACTTGGTCAAATTTTAGTTACTAAGAGAAAAATAGCTCACTAAGAAAATTAATACCTAGTCAAATTTTAGTTACTTAGAGAAAAATGGCTCACTAAGAAAATTAATACCTAGTCAAATTTTAGTTACTTAGAGAAAAATGACTCACTAAGAAAATTAATACCTAGTCAAATTTTAGTTACTTAGAGAAAAATGACTCACTAAGAAAATTAATACCTAGTCAAATTTTAGTTACTTAGAGAAAAATGACTCACTAAGAAAATTAATACCCGGTCAAAATTTAGTTACTAAGAGAAAAATGGCTCACTAAGGATGTTACAAAATTAATTTTAACTCAGGAAATTTGTGAAATCTGAAAATGGACATTAGACATGAGATTAATAGGATCAATAGACACTGTCCAGAATAGATGATGCGGAAACACCCTACACCGTGTCATCAGTAACCAATAACTTTTACGACACAGTTCTTTTAAATATGGAGTTTTCTTTATGGGCACCCTGTACAAAAGTTTTGGGTTCTTTCGATGCTAAAGGGATCTTATCCCAATACCAAAAAAAAAAAAAATGATTCGTGATTCCTTAGTTGTAAGTTTTAATGTGAAATAATCTGTTTAATTTTCATATTAGGAACTAGAAAGAAAGAACATAAAGTATTTTAAGATATTTTGTGAAGGACGACAGATACCCAGCAGCAAGGTTACAACAAGGTATGGTCGTAAATATCTTCATTACATTTTATAGAAAATCTCAACGAATTATAATATTTGATTATGAACTATTACACTTTGTTACTGTGTAAAAAGTAAAAGATGTGGTTTTGTTAATAATTTTCCATTAAGTTGTTTGTAATTTTATTTATATCTAACAACTCGTGTGAGTAAAGATGATTTCGTGCTGTATTTTCTTAACTGCAAAACTGTATGAACTTCGAAATGTACGGAGGCCTACGCGTTTTGTTCTTGTGAAATGTATACATTCAATTCTAGGCCAGCCTCTTCACGAAGTTAAATTTTCCAGTACTGCTGTAGAGACAATTATTTGTGTAACTGAAGTTCCGCCTGAAGCATTTTCTTTATGTATATTTTACATATTTATCTAAGGTACACAAATATAAACTCCTTCATTAAAATGTTTTTACAAAGACTTAGCGACAAAATTCGTTAGTACTGAAGTCTGTCGTATACCAGTCACGAAAAATCTCCCGCAGTCTGTGGACACAACTAACAAGTTGCAAGCTTGCCGTTTTGATTCTTTTGTTGGGGAAAAATTTGTCGGAATCTGTCTATCGTTGACGTGCTTGCTCGTGGATTGAGCGCTTTTGTATGCACGGCTTGTAGGCTGCTCAGCATGAGCTCTAACTTTTGGACTAGCCTCTTCAGAAATGCTTTCAGATAGGCAACAGAAACTAGGAATAAAAATGTTAAACGAAGAACTTTGAACTTTTTTTTACTGCACAAAGTGGGAGGAATGTATTCTTGAAGTCAGCAGGTGCTAAAGCTTTGTGTCAGACTAATACGTAGATGTTTGAATCACTTGAAGTGTTCATGTGTCCGCGTATTAGACTTCTCTCTGCCATCATGGTTACTTGATGACTTAAGATATTATAGTATTAAAACATATTAATTAAAATTTACTGTTCATTGTCTTAACAGATTATAAGATAACTTTTCATTATTTTACAACCTGCATGAAGAATATATATGTGTGTATGTGTAATATACACAATCATACGTACACGTACATTTAATACCCAGCGTTTCTTAATGAATATTGAGTGTTTAGTGTATTTTGAACTTGAAATGCCGTGGAAAATACACAATATTTTGTTATCAGTTTTAAACTAAAACAATTTATGCAGCTGGTACGTAGCTGATACTCATGAAGTGTTTGATTGCGTAATGTTTGTTTAGGGGAAGTTGATGTTACTCACTGTAGAGTTTATCGTCACAGAAACTTAATTACGTTTACTTGCTGTTCCACGTGAGAAAACCCTGCTACCGTTATCGCTAAGTACCGTTTTAGTCTGTGTAGTAATCCACTTGACGAAGAGCGTTCTGTAAAGTATACTTGTCAGTCAACTTAGCCTGCGGTAGGCAAACCTTTGACAAAATATGCTATTTATTATAACCCAAGTCCCAGAATAAAAAATCGCCATTGCAGTGAAGTGCATGATCTGTCTGTCTGTGCAATCGTACATCCATCCATCCATCTCTCTCTGTATTTCGTATGACCGTTTTGGAGTCCATCACCAACATTACTAATGAGGAATGATCACTTTGTTTCATCACTTAGCAACGTATTAATGTTGCGATTACGAGCTTTTATCTGCAGACGTTTCAGAGAAAGAGCTTTATTAGAATTACCTTCATATGTATATCTCTGTGAAAAAAATCAAGTTTGTACAATTAAAGAGTGGTATAGAATAACATATTTTTACCTTCGATAAATTTTCCAAAAATTAAAACAACTAGATCCAGAAGAAATGGAACAACCAAATAATAGCTAGATTAACACTTACAGATTAGGAGTGTTATATTAGTAGATGTATCTACAGGAGTAACATCCACAGAGCAGTGGATGTACGCTGTCAGAGTTAACCCTTATTTCCAAATTTGTACTGAAAAGTTAGGATCAGATGTGGATATCTAAATCTACCATTTGTTGTGCGCAGCCAGTTGTGGAAAGGTGTTTGCTTCTGATGAAATAGAAAATAACATATTTGTAATAATAAACCACCAGGGACGATAAGTTGGCATTCCAGATCCTTAATAGTCACGTGTCTCGATGAGCATTGTGCTTCATTGTTTGCAATGTCTGGCATTTACTTTACTCAATATATATATTATTCAGTTATCATATAAGTGAAAGACAATAGTGTAATCTACCTCCTCCTCCCTAACGACCCTAATCCCGACTATAATGTAATCTACCTGCACTGTAATTATATTTTCGAATTCTAAGTTTACGAAATACATTTCGTACAAACTACAATTTTTCTCTTTGTAAAAACTGTATGAAGAGCAAAACACTTATTATCAAAGCTGCTAAGAAATTTGTTCATATTTTATACAGCTTACATATGGTATCTGTATATAGTTACAATCGATCTAAGCCTACATAAAAGTAAATAAACATTACAGATGAGCAGAAAGTAAATGTATATTGTTTTCGATAATTTGTTCATAATCTTTAAGTACAAGAATATGTAAGATACGGTTTTTAAGTTATATTAAGGATTACTAAATTGGGTATTATGGACATCTAGCCATTGTTGCAGTAATTGACCAGTCAACCGTTTCTTTCATTAGTCTGAGTCTGATGCAACATTACGAAATGGATAAGAGTGGCATTATATTCCAATTTTGTAACTTAGTTTTCAGTACTACAGTTGTGGTTTGGTAGGTGATAGTTGTGGGAAATATCTTGAATTTGTAAACCACGATAACATCAAAATATGGGTCACTGCAGTACAATTGTTGAAGAGAGTCTATAAACCTGATCATCCTCATCTTGTCATCGGGGACGTTGTTTTTCATATTTTAGCATTGCGGGAGTGGATAGACCTGAAGTGACCATTTTTTGCGGAAGTTTTTCATGTTACATAATTGAATAAATGTTCAGGGCCTAATGGCCCTCTTCGATTCGTTTAACTTGTATGTTGCTGGAGAGTCTGTTTTTTTGTTTTTTTTTCTGAAGACCACGTTCTTTCGGTTGTTTGATTCGTGGTAGGGGTTCTATGGGGACGTTGTGGTGCTAGTGAGAGGGGGTTCCTTATTGATCTCTTAAGTTTTTGTGGGTGACAGGAGCCCCTTAAGAAAAACGTGATGATAGTCATCACAGTATACCAGAGTCTGTCCGAGCCTCAACACCGTGACCTCTTTAAGACAGGCAGCAAACAAAGTATAAAATATTTCTTCCTTGTTGATAACGCCTAGTGCAGTACTGTCTGAACCATAATTCATAAATGTCTAGACGCTCAGCAAGCGACGTGCAACTTGATTTAAGATTCTATGGTATCTTTAACCTATAACCATATATATTTATTTTTATCTTGCTCTTTTTTGTTACCGTACTATTAATTTTTTGTTCTTGTTTTTTTGTTTTCACCCCCACACAACCTACTGTGTTTGTGTAGCCCTTTCATTATGCACAATTATAGGGTAAAACGTATTAACTATTTTTGAATGATACCTTAACATAATTATTTGGTAGAACTTATGTCGTACAAAAAATAATGTTAATAATAAGCCATATGAAACTCGTGAAACTAACAGAATTTTAGCTACAGTTTTTGTTATCAATGTACTTCAATATACGTAAATCAGACCTAATTGTTTTTCCTTAATACAATGTGTGTATATATATATTAAATACCTCTAGGTTCGTATTAAATCCATCGAGACATGCACACTATTATAATCTAAAGTGTCATGGCCTAATGGTTAGCGTGCCTGGAATGTGAATATGATGATTCTTTGTTCGTGTCCCGTTATCTCAAAAACGCGCTCCTCACTTTGGGGCCGTGGGTGCAAACGCTACATAAATGACGGTGAAATCGCACTGTTTGGTCAGATAAAATTAGCCCAAGAGTTGGCAGTGATACTGTTGACTAAATGCCATCCTTCTAGTGTACTTGCTCAAAAGTAGGAACGGCTACGTTCAAGTGGCCTTTTTTTTTGTAGCTTTTTGAGAAGATTCTGAAACAGACTAACAACACATTGATATTGGGAGTGAGTCTGAGTAACCTAATCCAGTTATTTAAAAAATATATTTTTTGTTAGAAAAGTCATTCTCCCAAATTGCATCTATTTATTTATTTTTTTGAAGAGCTATAATGATTACAAAGAAATGCAACCTAATGTTACAACAACATATTTGTTTTTAGTGATGTGTTAATGTGTTACGTTAGAGATCGGTCATAGATACGTATATTCGGACACGCCGATAGACCTTCCAAATTGCATCCATTTTTTTTTAAGAGCTATAATGATTACAAAGAAATGCAACCTAATGTTACAACAACATATTTGTTTTTAGTGATGTGTTAATGTGTTACGTTAGAGATCGGTCATAGATACGTATATTCGGACACGCCGATAGACCTTGGGCTGTAAAACATGGTACTGGATAATGTAATAGATACAGTGTTAATTCATTTGAAGGAGTAAAGGTTTCACAAACCTAAAATATTACGCGCCTATCAGAGGATTCCTTCAAAGCATGTGGCATACTGAATGCTGGAGATCTATGCTGATATCTGTAAGCTTAAATTGTTTATTGTCAGAATATTATACATATTAATTTGTGGGCAGTTTCTATAGATTCTTGAAGGGCATAGAAAAGTCTGAACTGTGATTTCTGTTGCTAGTGGTCGAAGTAGCATAAAAGAGGTCAACAGAAAGTTTACCAATTTACAACGCCGAGTAGATGGACAGTGTGGTTAACCCACTGTATAATTTTACGTTAAGAAATCAACAGCCAAGTCCAATCGCCATATTTTAATAAAAGATGATTTTTTTCTTAAATGTTAATGTTTCCCACACGATGTTTTTTTTTTTGGTTGTGTGTGTGTGTGTGTTGTTTTTTTTTTTTAACAGTGTAGCTAATCTCATGTCGTTTCTGGTATATTTGATATGTAAAGTAAGAAATTTTGGAGTTGGCGAAGAATCAGATTAAAACTGTTTTTATATAGCGATATAGAATATTTTGACTGAACTTATTTATTTTTATTTTTCACGAGTCATTCTTAACCTTGACGTTTGTTTTTTAATTCTAAATTAAGACTTAATATCACTGTGTATATGCCACAGTTCAATGATAAATTTCTTGCAGAAACGAACCAAAAAAAAAAGAATGTAATATGTTTCGTTTTATTTTTTATAAGATACGTTATTTTTCCAATATCACAGTATAAAGCACCGGTTCTTGCCCTGTGGTAATCGTACCCCTAAGGGTATGCGAAAATCTTTGAAAAAATTAGAAAGAAAATAAACCCCACCCCTAAAAATGTTGAGGGTAGTGTAAGTTATCAATGCGTTCCACTAAAAAACACTCAGTGTTCACGTATTGTTGAAGCACTCATGAATTATTTCTTTTCGTTTACCTTTTTATTACTATAAACAACTCTTGATTTTTTAAAACAAATAATATGCGGGGGGTAAGCGGATGGCTTACACATAAAAAGGCCACTGGTATAACGGATGTCCGCAAGGTGTTGTCCATGTTTTATAATGATATATAGTAAAAACAAAGAAAGTGTTATGACGAATTGGCATAGAGATAAGCGAACACCATCAGGTGGCAGCACTGTTGCGCTTTTTAAAAATCTACTGGTGAGAAGAAAGTAAAGTATACAAGGTGGGGCAAAAATAACTATACTAATGTTTCAGTCAGAACATAGTTTAATTTTTAACAGTTACTCTGAAACAAACAAATATTAGATTGGTTTCAGTTGTCTTTGATGTATTACATGTCCTATACGATTTTTAGAGGCTTTATCCAAGCTATTAGCCTTATCATGTACTGTTAAAAGAGAATGTGATTGAATCATTTATATTTCACAGAAGATAAACTCGTTAATATTATATATGTTACCGTTTAGTTTCTTCAAGGCTGTCGAAGACTTTCAAAGGACCGAAGGTGAAATAGGTAAGAAGCACTTTAATTATTATAATATTTATATAATGAAGATAATATAGTTATTTATTGTAAAGTTTGAAAAAATGAGTGGTTTGTGAATTTCATTATTTTATTCACTGTTAGTTACTGTGCCAAGGCTTGGAGGCGGAGAAAGTAATTAAACTTTCAGTTAGTGTCAGTGAATTATTTGGCAGAGTGCAATCTAGTGGTTAGCGTACAGGACGGTTTAGCTGAGATTCCATGATTCAAGTTCCATTACCACCACTAGAAAAAATCGCGTTTCGGGCTATGGGTGCGTTATAAGAATGAATGTCAATCCCATCCATCAATCTGATAAAGTTGACTAGCTATCTTCCCTTTCGTCTATCGCTTGAAAATTATGAATAGCTAGGGATATTTCTCTTGTACAGCTTTGTGCAAAATCCACCAATCTATGAATTATTTAAAGAAGATTGTTACGCTATTATGGTTGCAGATGCGTGTAAGCATGTGATATAATAGGTTAGTATTGTAACTTGTTGCTGGATTAGACATGGTCTACTGGTTAGCGTACCAGACTGTGAATCCGAGGGTCGATGGTCTACGTCCTATTGCCGCAAAATTGCACTCTGCACCTTTGGTCCATGTGTGCATTATATGAGTGATGGTCATATCTACTCTCTCTATCTCCGTACCATATCCAAACAAGACGTTGGTGATCATGGTCTTTCACAGATCTTTTCTCGTTGAGGCACAAAGAATTTCCAATGTCGATACATTCATCCATTAAGATAGGCTCTTGACATAAGTCAACCATAGCCTTCCACAGTCTCTTCTTCCTTCAGTTTTTTTTTTCCATTTACAACTTTCAGTTTCTTCTTTCCTCATAACGTGTCCTAGAAATTCCAACTATCTCTTTCTGATGTTATTCAACAATTTCGTTCTGCCACCTGCTCTTGAAAAAATATCTTCATTTGGTGTGTGACCACAACTCACCTGCTTAAATCTCTTTATTTTTCTATACTCGATGATATTGTCCAACATTCTGATGCACACGTGAGAACTGGTATGACATAACAGTCCAAAACTCCTAATTTCGTTCCCATAGACATTTTACTGTTTGTCAGTAGCTTTTTCAATTTCAGAAATGTGTCTTTTGTCATCCTTATTCTCCGTTTTATTTCTCGATCACATTTACCATCTGATGTTATCCAGCTCCCCAAGTAGTTGAATTTATTGATCTGTCTTATCTACATTGACAATACATACAGGAATGATCTTCTTCTATGTAATTACCATACATTCTGTTTTCTACAGTCAATACTTAAATCCTTCTTCTCACTTTCACCAACAATTTCATCTAAAATTTATGCTAGCTTCTCTACTGAATCAGCTGTTAAAACTGTGTCATCACTGACGCAATGTGTTCAGACTCGGTCTCCCATTGATCAACCCCAGTAAAACCTCAAACTCCCTTTGGATTTTCTCACTGTACAAGTTAAACAAATTGGGTGAAAAGACACAGCCTTGCCTCTCTTAATTTAGATAAAATCACTTAATTCACTTTTTATCTTCACTGCTGCAGTTTGGTCCCAATAGAGGTTTCTTAAAATTCTCTAGTATTTACCATCAGTGTCCAGTTCTTCCAGCAATTTCATTAACTCAACATGCTAGACTTTATCAAAAGCATGAAACACAACAAAGGTTCTTCATTTCTGAAAGCACTCTTACCATGGAGATAGCATTTCTTGTACCATGATCTTTGATAAAACCACATTAAACTTTTGCAATCTCCGATTCTCTTCTACTTCTGGCTCACATCATTAACTTTTACTAATAGGATCTTTGTCACATAGCTCATTAAACTGATGGTTCAATGGTGTTCACATTCAGTGGCTCCAGGACTTTTGGGGAGTGCAGTAAAGATTGATTTCATAAACTTCATCAATAATAGTTATTAGCTTTTCTATACCAAATTCTTCCAAACATTTTATTTGTTCTACAGAAATTTCATCTGGTTTTCATTCTCTTGATAACTCTTTGTACTTCTGACTTAAAAATTTTCAATCTGTCCATGCTCTTCTCAGTAGATAGCTTATCTTCAGGACTGTTGTGAAATAAGTCTTTGATATAATCTATCCATTTTTTCAATACTTGTTCTCGTTCCATAATTACATCACCATTCTTAGCTTTTATACATCCACTAGGAGTGTATCCTCCATTACCTGTGATGTCTTTGACATTCCTATACATTAATGTAACATCTTTGTCCTTTTGTTTTTCTATTTATGTACATTGTTCATTAAGTCATTTTCTCTTAACTTCTTTTGTCCAGTTTCTTATACTATGCTATGGGTTTTCATCTTTCTTCTATCTCCTATGAGTTCAAGGATTTTCTCCGTTGTCCATTTCTGTTTCTTTTGCCTTAATTATAATGGCTGGTGCTTCTTTAAAAATTTTCCATTTTGAGGTATTTACTTTAACTTCAAGTTCTTCAAAATGGTTTTTAACCTGTCTGTATGCCTTTCTTTAAGCAGATGATTTTCTGTAAGAATTTTATAATCGAGCTTTTTTGCTGCTTTTGGCTTCTTAAGTTTCCTTAACCTTATCTTGATGGTACATACTACAGGAACATGGTCATTCTCACAGTCAGCTCCTTGGTAAGTTTTTAATTGTTGTACTGCATTCCTGAATCTTCTATTAATGGTGATGTAATCAGTTTGATTTCTAACATTATCTGCAGGACTTTTCCTTGTATACCTTCTTCTCTGGTTGTGCTCAAACAGTTTGTTCATAATGACTTGATCATTTGCAACACCCAATCAAACCATTTCTCTCTTCTTTCATTTTTCTCTCCAAGTTCATGTGATTCAACAATATTATCCACTTGCTCACAATCAATTTTTACATTTAGATCTCCTATTACTATGTCAACTTCTTGAGGTTTGCATTGATTTTTCACTTTATCAAGGTCTTCTAGAAACAATAAGTGTCCTCTTCCTCATTTTCAACTGTTTGTGCATAGATTTCTATTATTTACCTGTATTTTCACAAGCATCACATTATCAGGTGTTGCCCTAATTCATGCAAACACTTTGAGGTTTCTTCATCTAAAATAAACACAACTCCTCCTTTGTGCATCTGACCTCCAGAATAAATTATCTTCATGTCTTCTGAAACAATAGGTCCAACATCTTTCCAAATGTTTCACAGAGACCTACACTATTGATCTTTAATCGTTTTATCTTATGCTTGACATTAAACAGTTTTCCAGATGGATGTAGAGTTCATACATTCCACTTTGACTGCTCTCTAATGGGTGTGAACACTAGCATTCTGTAACTTTCCTTACAGGGCGAGAAGTCCTCTCTATTTCTATCGGGGACCTCCTTCATGCCATTGTGGTTTTTTCTTGATTCGTAAAAGACCATAGATTATGCTTAGCAAAATACTGTAATAGGTTGCCATTTTTTGCTACAGGTTGCAGTGTTCAACTAACTTGAGCAGGTCTTCTCTTTTGTTGTCCCAGTTGCACCAGGTATCTACCAGACATGAAGATCCACCATCTTGCACCCCAACAGCTTCAATTGTAACCCTGGTAAGGAAGGCTAATGGGTGTTACGCCTTGCCTAAGGGTGATCAAGAAACTACAGCAACAAGAGAATATTTGTCTCACTGTTACCCTGACAGTTGACTGTCCTACTGCTGGATGCAGTCATACCCAGTATGCATATTCAATTAAAATAGCTGAAGATTTGTCTTCTTTCTTGTCTGTCAGTTCACAGTTATATAAGGCATGTTTGCTATTATAGTTGATTATGTGCAGATGATACGATTGGTTTTTATTTGCTGCATTTTTTAGTTGTACATATACAAGTAATGTGTTACTGTTATAATGTGTTGCTATAACGTTTTGAATTTGGCATCGTTAATAGTATAGCAATCGTGACATTTCTAAACTTGGATTTTGTCTAATAAACAGCCGTTTATAATAAAAATTTATATTGTGAATTACATAAATGTTCTCTTTTTCCTCATTATTGATTATATATTTTCATTTCATGGAATTGAGATATGTTAAAATTTAGAAAATTCTGTCTTACACTAGTATGTGTATGTTATGTTTTATTTGATTTATGTTTGTGAAATTTACTTTTTGATTTTACAATAATATGCTGTTAATACTTAACGTTTCTTTCACAAAGGTAAACTGATTGGAGTCCATTGTACGCATGGTCTGAACAGGACTGGTTATTTAATTTGTCGGTATGTGTTGCTGTTAGTTTTTCGTATTGATGTGAGTTATGAATGCTTGAATTTTTATGAAATATGGATTTCTAAGATATCATGGCATTATTTATGGTAGTGTATTGTCTCAAGGATATTAACTTATCTAGTCACACAAGTTTTACTTTTAGAAGTTGTATCTTACCGTAAGTGTCAAATATAGCATAGATGTATAGATATATCTAAAAACACCGCAAAGTAGTTGTAAACATTTCTGTATTTTTAAGTTTAGAGTAGCGGGATTAAATAGTTAAATTATGTATTACCTGTGTATGATCGTTCTGTGTTTTTATGTACGAATTTTCATAAATTGTGATCTTACTAGAGTAAATAATATTCACTGACAATAGAATTTTGATTTTTTAAATTCTGAAACTTTAAACAATCCTAAAAGATTAACGAGAAAAGTTGTACTTATTACAATTTTGTATGTAGAATGTACTTATGAGCCTCATATGCTTAAACTTGGTATTCTGGTGTTTCAAGTTAATCTTTTCAACAATAGTTATTTGAAATAAGGATATTGAAATAAAGTCGAAACATTTCTTGCATAACTTTAGAAAACAAAGATATTTCACGATATTTTGAATCGCATGTTAAAGACCACAATAAATAATTGTAGCCAGCGTTTTTGTGGTTGGAAATCATGTATTTGAAAGTTTACGAACTGCATCTGTTGGAATATAATGAAAAATTTAATTTTTACTTTATAGATTCGCGTTAGGATTTGATTTTATAACTCAAAATTGAGTAACTTGAAGAAACATTTAATGATAAATAAATACTCCAATCATATATGTCTTTATATTGAACTCGGCATCAAGCTCCATTTTTCTTCCTTTACACAAATCATTATCGATATGACTTCGTAACTTGAAAAAGCGACGTTCGGATGTACGGAAGTATTGAACAAAAAATGTGTGTGACTTCTTTTCAAAAATAAATGTCTGAACTCAAGCTGGCCCGGCATGGCCAGGTGGTTAGGGAGCTGGACTCGCAATCTGCGAGTCGCGGGTTCGAATCCCCGTCCCACCAAACATGCTCGCCCTTTCAGTCGTGGGGGGCGTTATAATGTGACGGTCAATCCCACTATTCGTTGGTAAAAGAGTAGCCCAAGAGTTGGCGGTGGGTGGTGATGACTAGCTGCCTTCC